AAAAAAAAAAAAGACCCAAATGTGGGTTCTTTACACAGCTTAAATGAACAAGAATCCACATCCGGGCCAAGAAAATTAAACAGATCCAATCATTTCAAAGCTCGATAGCAATTATTAAGCATAAAAGAATCATCTTGACACGCACAAACAAAACCCAAATACCTCAACAATCAGCTGCAGAAAGGAAACTGTAGAAGATGATTTTCATACAAAACTCACCAAAAAAAACAGAAAAAGAAAAATTAACTGCAAAACAAAGTAAGATATAAATTTAACTTACACTGAACGCAAAGAAAAGAATTGCAGGTGGGCGGTTGAGTCAGAAGAAAAAAAAAAGAAAAAAAAAAGGGATAAAAAAGCAACCATAAATCTTCTTGGGATTCAAGAAAACTCGGTCCTCGAAGCCGGAGAAGCTAAAGGGCTCCTCTCTGCAGATAAAAAATATGTAGATACAAATGTGAAAGCTGTACGTATAGAGAGATAGAGATGAAAAAACAAGACCCCCGCGAAGAAATTGTATCACACTGCACTGAGAGTGACAGTACGGGAGCTAATGAGATGAATGATATAGAGAGAGAGAGAGAGGAGGCGTTTCCGCTTTCTAAGGGAATCGGACGGTTGAAAGTCGAGATGGGAGTAGATCCGACGGCCAGGATCGTGTGAAGAAGGCGCCAAACGGGTCACAAGAGATGTGGTACATAATATGCCTGTGGGTCCGGGTCGGGTCCCCCCTCACACGCAACGTTTGGTTCCTTTTTTTTTTCTTTTTTGCTCTCCATCGTTGAAATGGGCCCAACCCCGAAATTATGATCCAGTGGGCCCCGCTGACTGGTCATCCTAGGGTTCGAGGAGCAAGGGGCCGGCCTTTTTGTGCGGGGATAAGTCGTATATATTAAATTGGTAGAGTATTTATTTTATTTTATTTTATCTATTTATTTTTAGTGAACAAATATAATTTGATGGTACTAATTTTCTTAGCATTTTTAAAATTTTCGGTGTCCAGATCGATAAATGTGTCGAATTCGGGCTAATTTAGGAGTGCATTTAATTGAGATTTCAAACGACACTTTGAGACATTTTAAGATTTGAGACTCTTTAAAGCTTTCAATTTTTTACGAACTTAAATATAAAGGTGGAATTTGAAGTGGATTTCGTATAATGTTTTTTTTTTTCTTTAGAAATTCCACCAAATCTTGAAAAGTTTTAACAAATCCTAGTTTTAAATAACTTAAATATCTCAAGATTTTGTAAAAATTTTGAAATTTCAATTGAACACAACTTTTAAAGGTCTTAACTACTCTAAATTGAATACACCAGAATTTCTAAAATCATAAAAAGTTTTTAGAAGTCCCAAGTAAATACACCCCGTGATTCAAGCTATTTGACACATTAAAACTCGACAATAGCGATTTTTATTTATTATTTATTTTTATATAATTCAACTTGTTAAAATTCAAATTTGATCCGTTAACATTGATAAACGGGTTGAGTTCGAATTTGTCGTATGTCCGATCAATTCAATTGTAGCTTATTTATTGGACCAATTTATAAAAGTTTGGGTACGAGATGAGACTCGACTGGACTCGTTTATACCTTTATTATTATATTTTATTCATAAAGTTTTTTCATCAATTTAAAAAGTAATGAAGAGAAAATTTACTTTTCCACAAAGGGGGAAAATTGCACCTTCACCAATCACATAAAAAATATCATGTTTCCTATTCTTGTTTATGATCTCTTGTTTCTAGTGGCTGGCAATATTATCATGGTTTATATGGAAATTTTTAGATGTGACCTTTTGGACCTATCTTTAATTGCGTTTTGTTGAAAATTGGAAATTGGAATTTATTCATTCCTCCGAATTTAGCATGGGCCATTCTACACGTTCTTTCATGTGCAGCCAAATGTTAAAAAGATCAATTGTTTGATAATTGTTTCATATATATAATCATTGCAACATTGAGAAATGCTACGATTTTGTTACGGAACCATTTCATCGAGATTTGTAACCGTTAGATTAACTATCCCTCGACGAATACATAATGATCTAACTCTTATAAACCACGACGGAATAATCCTGTAATGGGAGCGTATCATTTTCCGTAAAAATTATATATATGGAGCTTGATAGTATTATACCTAGCCCAAGTGGGGTTCCATCCCAAAACCAATGGGTAGCCCATTAAACTTATTAAGTGGGTCTATTTTCCATGTATTAACAATGTGGGACAACTCACAAGTGATATTTTAACACGCCCCCTCACTTGTGAGTCTGATATCATGTCTCTAACTCAAGCACAAAGTGGGCTCTGATATCATGTCTCTAACCCAGACACAAAGTCGGTCGAGCTCTGATATCATGTCTCTAACCCAGACACAAAGTGGGCTCTGATACCATGTAATAAATTGGGGGAAATGGAAAGCCCATATGAAGCCCAAGTGGGGTTTCATCCCAAAACCAATTGGTGAAAGGAGGAGAGGCCTACTAGACTTATAAGGTGAGCCTATTTTCCATGTATTAACAATGTGGGACAACTCACAAGTGATATTCTAACACGCCCCCTCACTTGTGAGTCTGATATCATGTCTCTAACCCAGGCACAAAGTGGGCTCTGATATCATGTCTCTAACCCAGACACAAAGTCGGTCGGGCTCTGATATCATGTCTCTAACCCAGACACAAAGTGGGCTCTGATATCTTGTCTCTAACCCAGACACAAAGTCGGTCGGGCTCTGATATCATGTCTCTAACCCAGACACAAAGTGGGCTCTGATACCATGTAAGAAACTGGGGGGAAATGGAAAGCCCATATGAAGCCCAAGTGGGGTTCCATCCAAAACCAATTGGTGAAAGGAGAAGTAGCCCATTAAACTTATTAAGTGGGTCTATTTTCCATGTATTAACAATGTGGGACAACTCACAAGTGATATTCTAACAAGTGTGACCTTGAAATTCCACACATATGATGTAAATTTAATCTAATAACACCAATCCTAAAATTGATATATTCACACTATGCACAAAATAAAATGACATGCATGCAACCCAAAAGCCCAAAGAAACAATGATCAAAAGAAAAAGAAGGAGAAAACTTTGACAATTTTTGTCCATAATTACATATGTTAAGCGAATGAGTCGTTCGTACGCCTGAGTCAACTCGTTAAGGCCGGCTTGCCTTCAAGCTCGTTCAG